ACAGAACCCAGCCCTCAAATCCCCCGGCGGCGCCAGGAATCCCGCGGATCACCTTTCCCCAGTCAGGGGCTGTGCCTGTCCCAAGGGACGCTGCTGGCTGCCACGCTGTCTCCCTCCGACCGTCTGGGCTCAGAGGTCTGGCAAACTTTCCTGCCCAAATCCCTGTTTTTTTTTTTTTTTACCAGGGGAGTTCTGCCCTTCCCGGCTGCAAACTGTCTCACCAGCTGAGCAATTTCGCCAATTCGGGGTGGGTGTTATTAGTTTCAGCTGCTCACTCGATTTGCTCCGGGACACGAGCTGGGACACTTCTCCATATATCGGCGCGTGCTTTTCTTTTTCTCTGCTCACTCCATTTGCTCCGGGACATGACCTGGGACACGTCTGCCTATATCGCCGCCATCTTCCCTTCCTCTCCATATCAGTATTTTTTAAAAAATAGCTGCAGGGCAGTCTATTTTATGACTGTACCATTTATTTAATCAATCCCCTTTTAATGTAGATTGTTTCTAATCTTTCGGTTTTACAAGCAATGCTACAATTAATACAGCTGTGTAAGGGTATCATTTCATGTGGGTCCCTATCATGCTTGCCTTTTTTTCCTTTGGTGGTAGATGTTTTGGGTTTTTATATCTGTATTTGATTTCATCACAAAGGGGCCACAAAAGATTATAATTGCCCATACTTTTCATTGGATCCAGAGAAATATGACTGGAGCTCTAGGAGGGTTTTTCTTTTATAAAAGCAAACTTTTAGCCCTAGCTGGTTTGGCTCAGTGGATAGAGTGTCGGCCTGTGGACCAAAGAGTCCCAGGTTCAATTCTGGTCAAGGGCACGTACCTTGGTTGCAGGCTCTTCCCCGGCCTGAGCCCTGGTCAGGGATCGGGCTCGTGCAGGAGGCAACCAATCGATGTGCTTCTCTCACATCGATCTTTCTCTGTCTTTCCCTCTCCTTCCACTCTTCCTAAAAATCAGTGGAAAAATATCCTCTGGCGAGAATTAACAAAAAAAACCAACCAACAAACAAAAAATAAATAAAAGCAAACTTTTAATTGAAATATAAGAAATAGGAAAGTACACAAATCATAATTGTAAACTTGATGAATTTTCACAAAACCAACACCTCTGTGTAACCAGCACTAACACCATAGCTTTTTTTGTCTGTTTTTAAACTTTATAGAAATCTCTATCCAACTTTTAAAAAAATATATATTTTTATTAATTTCAGAGAGGGAAGGAGAGGAAGAGAGAGAGAGAGAAACATCAGTGATGAGAGAGAATCATTGATAGACTGCCTTCAGCACTCCCCACACCAGGGATTGAGTTTGCAGCTTGGGCATGTGCCCTGACTGGGAATTGAACCCTGATCTCCTGATTTATAGGTCGATGCTCAACCACTGAGCAACACTGGTCAGGCTCTATCCAACTTTTAAATGTTGCATTGCTTTAGCACTTGGTCATAGACCATTTTCTGCGTTTGGCTGTGCATGTAGCTCCACCAATTACTGTTTTAGCGAGTTGATTGCTCATTCACTTCCTTAGCCTTAATTCACTTAATGTGTGTCTCAGTCAGGCCCCCCTGCTGAAACTTCCAACTGAAATATCCCCATTGCCTACAAAGCAGCCTGTCTGGAGGTCTCACAACACCTAGGACTTGGCAAGCCAGTGGCAGCTATTTGTCTTCCTGAGGATCCTGCATCTTTTCTCATGCATTGCCTCCTATGATGGGGCTCTCTGTTAACACGCCCCCTTCCCCCAGTGTTGAAGCTGGCAGAAAATCTTCTTTTTGTTTTCTGTTAATCCTCCCTTGAGGATATTTTCCCATTGATATTTAGAGAGAGTGGAAGGAAGTGGGAGAGGCAGAGAGAAACATTGATGTGAGAGAGACACATTGATTGGTTGCCTCCCACACACACCCAGACCAGGGCCAGGGATCGAGCCTGAACCAAGGTATGTATCCTTGATCAAAATCAGACCCGGGACCCTTCAGTTCTCAGGCCAAGGCTCTATCCACTGAGCCTAACTGGCTAGGGCTGGCAGGAAATCTTGATGGCCTCTCTCCCCCCAATTCCCAAGTCCATCTCAGGGCCCCTTCGTACTTGCTCCTAAGGGCCTCAAGTATCACTCCCTGCCTACCTCATCTCTCCAGCCTTACACTCCTGCTGTGTCCTCATTTGCACTCTACCTTGGCCACAGTGGCCTTCTTTCCCTTGTTTAAAAGCGAGAGATCCTGCATCAGGATCTCTGTGAGCTTTCCTCTCTGCCCAGAAGGCTGCCCTTCCCTGAGCAACTCCTCTGTGGTCTTCAGGTCACCTCTTACTGATTATATTTAATTTCCGACTCTCCAGACCAGGTTAGATCACCTTGATATATGCTGTGTATGTGTTCATAGCAGCCATCCTTCCCTTTTATATTGTTTACTGCAGAGGTTATTGACTGTTTCATTCAAGGGCAGGGACTACATCTTTCTTATTCATGCTTTTTCCCCAGTGCCTGACAGATTATAAATCCCCAATAAGTGAACAAGTAACCAAAGGCAAAGGCAGGAGGAAGAGGAGCCCAGCCTATGACTGAGGCCAGGGCTCTGCTGTGTTCAGCGTCAAGGGATAGAATTTCCTCTTTCAGAAGTCTCTAGTACCCCCAGCCCTTTCTGTCACTTGCCTTTCCTTCATGGTCCCATTCTAGGTTTCTTTCCTATCCTTGAATGGGGTTTTCTGTGGTTAGACTTTGTGCCATGTGGAAGGAGGTAGCTGATGGGATGATTGCTCTGTGAGGTGGGAGATGCCTCCATTGGGTTCATCCCACTGTGAGAGTGTGAACAGGGCCTGGCCCCAGGGAGCATCCAGCCCGGCTGGGGCTGAGAAAAGGATCTTGTGAGGATGGGCCATGATCCTCATCCTTCTCTGGCTTTTCTTTCCTTCCAGTTCAGAACAAAGAGGCTGGGCCAGCTGGTGCCATCATGGCAGGTAAGGAGAGGACAGGCCATGTGGGTAAGACATTCAAGTAAGCATAGGGTGGTTGGACCTCTTCCTAGTCCCCTTATCTTCCCTAGTATTTGGAGGTCAGGTCCTTTCTGTCCTTTCGTCCCGAGGTTTTCCCTGGTTCCCACTTGGGCCTGTCTATTGGTGACCCTGAACATGACACTGTCTAGCCCTCTATCAGATCTCTGGCCCTGGGGAACAGGGATCAAGCATCCTGATGTCCTGGTCCTATTGGCCATTGGACTGATGAGCGGCATGGGTGGCACAGTCTCTGTCCCCTCTGTCACCATTGCTCTCTAATACGCTGAGACCTGGTCCTTCTGGTTTCTGAGTTGTCTGATTTCCCAAGGTTCAGGTACAGAATGCCAGAGCTGCAGGGAATTTTAGGGACTATTTAGCTCAACCCTCATCCCACTGGATAAACTGAGATTTGGAGAGGGGTAGTTACTTGCTCAAGAGCAGAATATTGGAGTTGAGGCTAGAACCCCCATTTCCAGACTAACCCTTCCTACTTCTGCCTGAAACTGGCTCCCTGCTGAGGAGAATGCTGAACCCCTGATGGACAGCATTTACTGTTTTTCTTCTGAGAGGCAGTGACACTACATTGGGGCCTTTGGTTACTTTGGGAACCACACATCCTGGAGGAAGCATGGTTTGTTGGGTAAGGATAGCAAAGTGGCCTATGGTTGCAGGCCTTCAGGGCAGCCTAGGCCAGGGAAAACATGATGATATTGGATTGTTGGGGAGGAGAACATTCAAGGTGGTGACATGTGATGTGCTTTACCCACAGAAAGAGTGAACAACTTCCCACCACTGCCCAAATTCATCCCACTGAAGCCATGTTTCTACCAAGACTTTGAGGCAGACATCCCTCCCCAGCACCTCAGCATGACCAAGCGCCTCTACTACCTCTGGATGTGTGAGTGCTGTGGATGGGGGATCCAGGTGGGGCACTAGGGTGGGGTACCCACAGGCTGGCTATCTTTTTAGCTCCACTTGCAGCATCTGCATGGGCCAGTAATTCTCCACCCTCCCTCACTCCCAAAAGGCTCCTTTCATGGGCCCACTCCCCAGTTGGGCCTCAGTTTTCCTCAACCCCAAGATCTAGGCCTCTCCTCCCACCAAGCCCCATCTCCCATTCACAGACCATTTGGATAAGGGTCTTTGTCTCTTGCTCTCCATTTCCTTTCCCACTGGAGTAGTTTTCTAGGGAACCTCAGGATTCTGGATTTGAAGCGGGTTCTTCCCTTAAGCCTCATTTTTCTTGTTTTCTTTGAGATCAAGCTGGGCTGGTTGCTCCACTTTCCAAGAAGCAGGTTTCTCATTTGTAGAAGAGGGTGTTGTTTCAGTGACTGCTGTGGTTCCACATAGAGCTCTGTATGGACTCTTAGAACTTCTAATGTTCTAAGATTTTGAGGTCAAGTATGTAAAGGCCCTAGTTTCTGATGATCTGTGGCAGGTTGGTGGGAAAGGTATCATCTTAGGGGGATTAGACTTGGATGTGTCCAGGCTGGGTCATAGGTACCCTTTCAGCATGCGCAAGGAGAGGAATCTGGCTGTCCTATGCTGGGTACCAGTCCCAGGGAACACCAGACATCACAGGGTGACCTTAACCTGGGTCTGCCACATGTGATGTTGCCTTGAGTCAGTCCTGCACTTAGCTACTTACCTGTGGGGAGATGATTAATTGTGCCAGGAAGGTGAGAAAGAATACTGTCTTTGCAACAGGTCCTTCATGGACTTGTAGAAAGAATATGGGGACACACAAACTCAGTTTCAAGTCCTGGCTTGACCTTTGAGGCCATTCCCCGCCCCCCCCACCTCCCACCCCATATAACATGAGAGAAAGAAGGGATGGGGCAGGTGTGGGTAGTTCTGTAGATGTTTTGAAGAGAATTTTTCCATTAAAATAGCATGTAGAAGTGGGGTTAGGAGATTTGAGGAGATTGGGATTAGAATGACAGCATGTTTGTGGACACAGGGTAGATACACTATTCAAAATTTATGGACCATGCATGCAATCTCCATTTGAGATTGACTACCATGAATTTATAGTCCTATCAGGCCTTTGGGATGGGGTCTCCTTTTTTTCCTAGTAACAGTCACTTCAGGTCCAGATGGGAATTGTGCTCATCCGGGGTGAGTGTGATCAGATGACAAGGCAGGGGAGGGAATAAGAAAATGAGAAGTATGGCATCTAAGCTAGATAAAGAGAGGAGTGGAGATAGAAAAAAGTTGATGGCTAGAGAGAAAGTGGCCAAGTCAATGGATGTGAATTCCGAAGAACTGGTAGAATAATTGCAGGAGAGGCAACTAGATCAACTGAGCTAGAGAGAGATGGGGCTGGGAAGAGAGGTGTAAACCAATATTAAAACAGGTTAATGTCTAGTTTATATAAAGAGCAAATAAAATCAGTAAGAACACCAAGGTTCCAGGAAATTTGGGGGCAGTAAACAGGAAAGGAGGAAAGAGAATGCATAGGGACCCGAGCTGGGTGTACTGCAGAGTGACGGTGTTGTCAGAGCAGACGGGGAGCATTTCACCTGACCCTGGGCTCTGAAAACTCTGCCCCTGAGAAGATCTCATTCAGGAGCTGGATTTAAGGGCTATAAATATCTTCCTAAGTCCTCTTGAGGTGCCTGCCAGGTGCTTTGCTCCCAAAGAAATGTATATCATGCTTAAGGGCTCTATTCAGAAGCCAGTACAGTATATGCCTGGGTGTTTGAAGCTCCATTCGAGCCCCTCTTCCTTTGTTTATTCAGCAGGTCTTTGTGGAGCCTTAAAGGGATCCAGCCTAATGTTCCAGGAAGGGATTACCTTGTGTCAGAAGACTTGGGTGTGTGTTAGTGCCAGCATCAGATGAGGAAGGAGTCTTTGAGGTCCCGACTGGCTGTGACTCATTGATACTGTGATTCTGAGGTTCAGCTAAATTATGTGGGCACGGAGGAGGGGGAGCCTGGGTATTGTTCTTGGGGAGCTTCTAGTCTGGTTGATGGGCTGGGATTTGTACTTGAGGGAACCATGAGAGCAACCCAGGTCTGTGAGAGATCAGAGGGATGGGAGATGAGTAAGGCTGCAGTAGTGAAGGAAGGCTTCTTGGAGTGGGTAGCATGATAGTTGTCTAAAAAATGGATTAGATAAAGACTGAGATTCCAGCCACTATTGCCTGCCCCATTTAAGTACAGGGCAGATTATACAGTGGCTTGAATAGATGTTTCCACAAGGCCTTTTACTTTCCCCTTTTTGTGCCCCTACCTTGCAAGAGAAGATGTAAGATGGGTTTCCCATGCCTTAGCCTTGGTGATTGCTGTGAATCTGGCAGGGTCAGGGGCTGAGGTCATTCATAAAAGGAAAAGAGCATTTCTACTACCCTGAGGCTTTGGAGCCCTTCAATGGGACTTGCTGGGCTGAGGCTCTGGATTCCTGCTCTGGAGACTGTTCTCTGGGTGTGGGGAGGGGTGGTCTGAGCTCCCAGACTTCTTTCTTACAATCTGTACTCATGTGTGTGTGTGTGTGTGTGTGTGTGTGTGTTCACTGATATGGGTTATGGGTGTGAATATGTGTAAATGTGGTATGTATGTGTATTTGTCTGTCCGTATCTCTCTGCTTGCTCTGTTTGCATGGGTTTGATTGTTATGTCTTGAGTTATGGATGTATGTATCTGTGTCTGGGTGCTCATGTATCTCTGCATGGGCCTGGTGTTTGTGTTCATGTCTGGTGTATGTCTCTGTGTGTGCATGTGCTCCTGGGTCTGCAGTGAACAGCGTCACGCTGGCGGTGAACCTGGTGGGCTGTCTCGCGTGGCTGATTGGAGGTGGGGGAGCCACCAACTTTGGCCTCGCCTTTCTCTGGCTCATCCTCTTCACACCCTGCTCCTACGTCTGCTGGTTTCGGCCCATTTACAAGGCCTTCAAGTAAGTGGTTGGTGCTGACCCCGGCTCCTAACCCTGCCTCTTTGCTCACCTTCCCCATCTCTTCTCTACATATTATCTCACTTTTTTTTTTTTTTTGCCATCTCCCAAACTTACTTTCCCTATTCACCCTCAGCTCAGACTGCCAGGTAAGATTTGGGCTTCCTGGGAGCTCAAGGCTGGGATGAGAGGGCTGGGAGTCAGAGCCTTTCTTTTAGTTCCTTTCTTCGTCACTCTGCCCTTAGGTGTGGGCAACATAAGGTAGAGACCACGCCTATTTTAGTTTTGCTTTCCCCAGGCAGCTGCATGTTAAATGTTGCCAGTGGGGCCACCTGTCTTGGTGGAGATGCTCATCCTGTACCCATAGGGCTAACTGATTTAGTGCCAAGTGAACCAACTATCCATGCACCAGTGGAACTAGCCATCCATATTCTATTTATGTGCTAATGAGGTCATCCAACTCTGTACCAAAGAGACCACCCATCCATGTATCAGTTGGGCTAGCTGTCTTGGTGCCAATGGGTGTCTACTTTGTGTCAAATAGAATTTTCAATCTTTGTACCAATTGGACTATTCATCCATGTACCAACAAGGCTACCTGTCTTGGTGCCATTGTAGTATCCCCGATGCCTCAAATGTCTTTGCCAACCAGACCATCTAACTATGTGCCAATTAAATTACTGTCTTGGTGCCAATAGGGTGTCCATTTTAGTGCCAGTGGGACTTTCTGTCTCTAAGCATATAGGACCATCCATCCATGTACCAGTGGAGCTAGCAGTATTGGTGCCAATGGAATTGTCCATCCTCTTGACAATGGGGTCATTTATTCCTGCCACAATGGGCCCATCTATTTTTGTGCCAGTTGGGCCAACAACCAATGTACCAGTGGGTGGTCCATTCATGAAGAGATGTCTCCCTATGTAATGTTGCACACACAGACCTAACATGGAATCCTGCAAAGATCCATAGTTAAACACTGTCCCATTTTGGCCTGTCATTTAAGGCTTTTGACTATCTTCTGTCCATTGTGTACTCACTTAAACTTGGAAGGGCTTGGGGACCTTGAAGGCAGGGAATCCCTAGCCCTCTGCCCAGCTGATGGGAGCCATCTCCTTTGTTGCAGGACTGACAGCTCCTTTAGTTTCATGGCATTCTTCTTCACCTTCATGGCCCAGCTGGTCATCAGCATCATCCAGGCTGTGGGCATCCCAGGCTGGGGCATCTGGTAAGAGACTGAGGTATCTGGGACTGACCCATGGCTAGCATAGGTGGCACCTTGTTAATGTCTTTTGCTTACCTCCATATGCTAAGCTGTCTGACCTGGGAGGACACTATGAATTATAGAAAGTATATGATAGGATTCAAGCTACTGGAGTAGACACAGCCATAGCATTTGAGGAGAAGAAGACCTTACAGTGGTTTCTGGGGGCTGAGTGTCAAAAATCATGGGAGAACCCAAGGAAAAGAAGCATTATGTCTGAGGAGTTCATCTCCTGAGCCACGGGGAGGACTCTTCCTGAACCACTGACATAGGCCCTTTGGGTATAAGTAAGATGGTCCCTTTGCACCCAATAATATGGTCTCTCCATGTGACAATGAGATGGTCCCTTGCTCCAGTATGTAGTGGGGTGGTTCCTGGATAGCCCTCACCGTGCTGGGTAGCCTCACAGTTGGCCTCTTCCTACAGCGGCTGGATTGCCACCATCTCCTTCTTTGGAACAAACGTTGGCTCAGCGGTGGTGATGCTCATTCCCACCATCATGTTCACAGTTGTGGCTGCCTTTTCCTTCATTGCCCTCAGCATGGTACGTGGTTACCTCAAGGGTCATAGGGGGTGGCTTTGGAAAGGGGCTAGGACCCAGAAGTTTCCCCAGGGACTAACTGTGGAATGGCTTGGTGGACTTTGCTCCTGATGCACAGAGCACAGATGGGAGGGGGGGGGGGGG